ATCATTACTAACAAATTTTTTTCAGTATCTAAACTGTAAATAGAGCACATATGTTCTCATCTCCAAATTCTAACTTTAGTCTTTCACATATTATTTTTAAACTATCCATTTCCTTACAAAAACCTTTTCTTTCTAACTGTGTAACTGGAGTTAGTGATGATATTAAAGATTGTGCAGTTAAGAGGTGTAATGTTGTTTCGAGGAGTTAATGAGTTTTAGAAGCATAAAAAATCTGTTGGTTCACCTTCCGACTTATTTTTTTGCATTGAAATCATTTTATAATTCCATCGTTATTGTTAAAGCTAAAAATTATTAGGTGAAAAAATTATTATTTGGTGCAATTTTAATATTAATTCTTGTGATATATTGATTTTAATTTATAAAAAAATAAAGTTAAAATAAAAAACAAAAACCAACATTTCAAAAGAAAATTTACTATAATCTAAATAAATTAAAATTATCAAGGAATTGCTAATTTTATACAATTTTACATAAAATCCTTGTATTTAAATAGTTTTAATATAATTACAACTTTAATTTAGTAAAGCAAATAAAAGAATATTAAATACAGTATATCATAATAATATATTATTATGATATACTGTTATATAACTGTTACATATTGTTGTTATTATTAACAGCAATATTTAATAGTTCATATATTTTTTATATAACTTTTATGTAGATTTTATCTGTTGTTTTCTTTATTTTTTTATTTAGTGACCAAAAAACTATAAAGTATGTGTAGTGAAAAAAATATACACTTAACAATCATTAAACTATGTTGTATAATTGTGGAGTGTATTAGAGTTCAAATGTCTAGTGTATAAAATTATAAAATTTAAATTATAAAAAGTATAAAATTTAAATCATTAAACTACGTTGTCTAAACCTAACTTGTTTAGTAACTATTTTAGCATTATTTTATATCTGTCAAGCTCGTATATTTAAGAGAAGATGTTTGTTTTTTAAATTTGTTTTTGTCCATTTACTTTATACTACTGTTATTTTTACTTAACGAATTTTTTTAATAATTAAAAAAAAAAAAAAATTATTACAAAAATTCCTTATTTACTATTTTGATAAATTACTAAAACTAAAACCCACCAGAAAATATTGTTGTGAACAGACATAATGATTATTTTGGGAGACTATAATTTTGATTTGATAACTAGTAATTATCAAATCAAAATTATCACAAAGTATAATTATTTCTGTATAATAATAATAATAATAATAACAATAATAACAATGAGAATAACAATTTACAGAGTTATAATTTTACATACTAAAGAAGTATGTTCCATATGAAGATATTAGTTAAACTACTCCATATTTGTCAACATGCGCACGATTTATTACCTTTAACTTCTAATACCTTCATATGGAAGTATCTAAAAAATTTAACTCTGTAAAATATTATTAGTTGAAACAATAAAACACAGCAACTTTGAGGATTATTCATGTATATGAATAATTCCTCAAAATTCCCGACTCGATAAAATTATTTGTTTTCCCTAATCCATAATGGTAGACTTATTTTCCGATATTTGTGACGTAGCTCCGACCCGAAGGATATATATATCTTTATAACTTTATATTTATATATATATATATATATATATATATATATATATATATATATATATATATATATATATATATTAACATAAAGATAGATAAAACAATAAAAGAACATAAATTTAAACCTTGGTTTTCTTTGTAAATTTCTTTGTAAAAATCGTGTTGTCAATTTAAATGTATAATGTACAAATATAAAAATATATATTAGATACAAATACATGTATAATATACATAGATATATATGTTTATAAATACACAAATCTCTATGATTAATTATCGCTGATGAATACACTTTTCTTTGTACTCGAAATTACATTTAGTCTGGATGATGAGTTTTTTTCTCTGTAATTGCGCGGCCATCTTTTTAATAAATAGGCCTCTTAAAATCGGCCTCTAAAATGTAACATATACGGCCGTATAATATAGTAGGCCATGCAACGATGTTTCTTTTATATATGGTGATTTTTGGTCGTTGCTTAAACTTTTTTTCTATAAAAAATATACTTCATGCTCATATGCATATGAAGGAATTAGGCACACTTAATTATATCAGGGAAAAGGTCATAACTATACCCTGATGTAATAGTGTGTTTTTTTTTCTTTTTATAATCGTAATATATAATTGAAAAAAAAAAATAAACAAAAATATTTAGGGCATAGTTGTAAAAGCAGAAATATATTTTATATAATTTTGCATCAAAAAAAAGTTGAAGCATTTTCCAGAAAAATACATTTAAGATTGCACATATGTATTTAATGTTTAAACAAATTTTTTATGAATTCCTACGGTTAGATTTCTAGAAAATTGATTTCAAATAAATAAACAAATCTTGGATATCAATAAATAATGATATTATAAAATTTAAGTTTTATCACGCTAAGATTGTTTTAATATCTATTTATCAATTCTTATATGAAATTTAAGTATTTATATACTGATCTATATAAAAACTAAGCCTACAACATCAATTTATGAGAAATAAAGAACAAAAGTACGGTTGTTATATAAAATGTTTTCTGTAGTTAAGAACCGCAGCCATTTTAAAAGTTCGAAATTTGTAGTTATTTTCTAACGCATGCGTACCTAAACAAAGCGCTTGTAAACAACCGTGAGTTAAGAGAATTAAACTAACGTAAAAATTTTTTCTTAATTATACGCAAAAATTTTCTTACTTCCTAAATTCGCGACAAAAAACTTTATTAAATTTAATTGTTGCGTATTTACCTTGGTTGCGAAGATTTTTGACTTCTTTCCAAAGTTTCTTTCTCTCTTCCATCGTCTCTTTAGTCGTCTTCTTGTATATATATTCGACTTCCTTTTAAGTTTTTAAGTGAACTTAAAATTTTAATTTTATCTTGATAGTTTAACAGTTTCACTACGATATTTGTAAATATTTTTTTCACAGATTTCTTACGTTCGGTTTTTTTCTCTAACGAGAGCGGTTTTTTAAGTCAGAATTTTTTTTATTTATATTTTTAATTTCAAGATCATATTTCTTCCTTATTTGTGTTAATTCCTCCTTTATTTTTTCTTCTTGAAAGTTAAGACTTTCTTTCACATCGTTCAAGTCTTTTTCAATATTTTTTCAATGTTTACTCTGTTCACATTTAATTCATTTTCTATTTTGTCGAGTTTATCAGTAATAATTTTTATATTTCCACTCACTATTTGTGTGAAATTCTTTTCTTGGTCTTTTAACAACCTTTCTGTTTCTTTAAGCAAAGTTCTTTTTTGTTCTTCAAGTTTGTTGGTAATAACTTTTTAAATATTTTTGATCGTTATTTCCATTTTTTAATTAATATTTTTGAAGAGCAGTCAAAAACACGTGCGTTCGCGGCAAAAACTTTTTTCAACCTCATATTTTAAATTATTTTAAAGTGATGCAACATAAAAGACTTTTTTTTTTGAAAATATTTCATGAAACAAAAGCATCGTTTACATATTCTGGTAGAAAAAGTTTTCCTCTATATAGATATATATTTTTTTATATTATGATATTTTTTGAAACTTTTTGTTATTATAGACATAGGCGGTTTCACATCTTCTCCCCCACCCCCTCTCCCCCAAGAAGGTGATTTTTAAGTTAGAGTCGGTTATTTTACGAATTTAGTCGGCTAATCGGGTATTTGATAAATTCAGTAGGGTAAATTTTAATTTTGATGACCTTTGTAGGGTAAACTTTAATTTTGATGACCTTTGTTTCGGGTATTTGATACAATTCAGTAGGGTAAACTTGAATTTTGATGACCTTTGTTTTTATAGATATAACAAAGCCAGTCAGTCTTTTTTGAGGATTCACCCCCTCCCCATCATTTTATTTGTAGATTTGCCTCTGCTGACAGACTTCAAATAGTGACCGAAAATAAACTAATTTACCTTAAATAAGATAAATTTATTAAGTAACATAATTACTAATTCGTTTGTTCCACTTGAATGCATTTCAAACACTCATTTACGCACCACCGCAGATTATATTAAAAATTTTTTTTTTTGTTTGAACAAAATAAATATGGAATTTCTCGCAGATTTTAGAACCAAAATAAAATTTCAAGGATTTTAACAATTTCTACTTAATTTTTATTTAATAAATTTACTACAACATTTAGGTCTCATAATTTTAAGTAAAAAGATCTTGGAGCTCTTTCGTTCCATAGAATCGGTGATATTTATTGACCTTGTCCTTGAGGCTGTTACTTACTGATATACATATAAAAACACGAAACTTCAAAAAAAAAAAAAAAAAAAAAAAATGTAAAACACAAAATGAAAGTACAAAATGAAAATATAATAATACTTTTTCGAAAAAAAATACTCTAATATTTTTTCCATAAAAGCACTGTTAAGAAAGTCTTTACCAACGTTGATTGGCTTTTCTTGGCTTTTAGAATTCTGAGTTCAGAAATTTTAGTTTCAAAAATCTTTGGATACCATCTCAAAATTGTTTACCATCGGTAGACAGTGTACAGTCATCCACCCTCAAAAGATCTATTATTGGAAATATCAAAAGAACTCCGAGTTTATCTATAATTTCAGCATACAACTGAAACCAATCGTTTTGAATGTACATAGCATGGGTGTTTCCTTGTGGCTGTGACATACATAAACATGGAACGTTGAAAAAAAAAAAATTTTAACACAATAAAATACAAAATAAAAATCTATATCGCATTTTTTAAAAGTTAGGAATTTTCATTCGAAAACTATTTTCTAATTCTTGTATAATATATAGTGTTTTGTAACAACAAAGTCAAAGTTGCTTCTCCCCCTCACATTCACCCCTCTCTTCTTACCCTCTCACTCCCCCTCCCCAAACTATTATACGAAATGTTTTGACTACTGAAGCATGACTGCAAAATAATTAGCAAAATAATGCTAAGTCTGCAAAATTAAAATACATCATTTTCGGTTGCGGAAAAAAAAAGCACCAGTTTTTGCTATGAGAGGCTAAAAGATATAATTCGTATTTACGTAATAGACAATTTATATTTACAGTTCTTATTTATCACTATTGTGTGCTAATAGACTAAATCTTAGCTTGGTTGTTATCTAAATTGGTGTTTAAATAAAATTATGTGTTGTAACATGAAATTATTCGTACATTAAAGTATACAATTTAAAAAATTAAATGGATAAAGATAAGGTGCTTTTTCTTCATTTGGTTGTATGTATTTTTGGTAATGTATGGGCAGACTGTGGTCAAACAAAGTTTAATCATTCTAGAGGTGTGATAAGTAGTCCAGATCATTTTGTTAACTCCACGTGTACATATGAAATAGATGTTTCATCAGAGTCTCGATGGGTTCGTCTTAATTGGGATAAATTTGCAATGGATGCAACCATGCCTTATTGTTTAGATGGAGACCATGTTGAAGTTTTTATTGGGTATAAGTTTATTCAAATTTATTAACAACAATAATCATAATTATTAATAGTATATATATATATATATATATATATATATATATATATATATATATATATATATATATATATATATATATATATATATATATATATATATATATATATATATATATATATATATATATATATGTATGTATATATATTTAGGGTATGATTAATAGTTTCATTTCTCAGAAATGGCACGTGGCAAAAGAAGAAATTTTAATTGTATATAAAGTAATTTTTTTTTTTTCTAAATCCAAATAAAACTCCTTCATCTGTGCAAATGAAAATTATTTAAAAAAAAAAATGCAAACATTGAAAAAAATGCTACTTTGTTATATGCAATTAAAATAAATTGACTTGTGTAAACAAGATTAAACTTACAAAAAGCATTAATATTTAATAAACAAAATAATATAAGTCAATGTTATCAATGGTTCAAATATATTTATTACTGAAAAAAGTTTTTGATGAGGTATTTATTAGTTTTTTTTTATTTATGATTTAATAACAATAATCATCATTTTGTTTATAATTTAGTTTGTTGTTTTAAATATGGTATATCCTAAAGCTTCAAAATCTGTTAACAAAAACACATCTGCGTGGTCCAAAAATTTAATACATTTTGAAAAGGCAGTCAAACAACGAAAAAAAAATTCAAATAGTTGAGGAAAATTTGATTCAGCTAGTCCAAAACCAAACCATGTTTTTTATTTTATAATTGCTCAACTTTACAAAGTCATAGCAAAGGATCTACAAGCACTATGGGCAAAATTCAATATTCCATTTTAAATTTTTAAGAAAAGTGAACTTTGTGATTGATAAATATTTAGTTTATCAAATATTTATCAACCACAAAGACTAGATAGCAACATAAAATCTTTATTCTCACCATTACTTGATCTAACTAATGTACAAGGAGTACAGAGGACAAAAATTTCTATAAGTTGCAGATATCTTTTAATAGAGATATTGGCTATTCAACAACAAGTCCCAAAAGAGTTATTTCATCCATTGAAATGACAAGTTCTATTACCTGGTTTGCCCTGAAAACCTTTAACATCATGTACTGTCTTCTCAGATGAACTGAATCATCAAACAAGTCATCCAGTGAAGATTGGAGCTATAATACTGTCAAATGCAGGATGAGTAAACGTAAGTGCCATTCTACTAAAAGTACAGTCAATTTGGTAACAAATACAAACTTATCAACAAAAAAAGTTATGAATATTCTAAAAAAAGATGGTTACACAGTTCCAACACCTCTCAATCTGGTGTGTCCAATCTTCATATAAAGAAACATAGAGTTTTTATCCAAACATTTCAAACTTTCACTTCATAATTTTGAGTGGTGTTTGCATTTTGATGGTAAACATTTGGAAGAAGAACCTTGAAAATAAAAAAGCTGACACAATACATGGTGGTTTAATGTCTGTTTTAATGTATGAAGTGTTAGAGGTCAATAAGATTATTATATGTGATACAACGAACACAAATACGGGCTCCAAAAACAGTATTGTCGTGAAAATCTCAAAACATTGCATGCTACAGTATGGAGCCAGTCCCCTGTTCATTGGATGTCATCATCACACTTTAGAGTTTTACAGCTTGCAATGGATGCAGTACATATGAGTCCCACTTATTCTTTAAATATTTTGTACCTGTTCATTCCTGAAATCACTACAAAGTATAAAGATTTGAAAAAAAAAAAATTTTCTCAAATATATAGACCACAATTTTTTCACGATTTTTATCTGTTCGTATAATTAAAAAACTAATTTGCTATGTACACTTGAACTATGAAAAATTTCTTACATTTATTCATTTTGATATCAAAACTTTTAATTGTTTATGATTTTTTTAAAAGATGATATGCTTTGCTTCATCAACTTGTATTAAATTCAAAAGCTAAAAACAAAATACATCCATCCAATTATCTTCTTTTGGCAAATACTATACCATATAAATACTAAAATTTATATAAATATGAAAGGATATTGCATGTCAACATCTAAATAATTAGCAAACATATATGTTTATATCCATAATATGTGTGCATAAAGCGCATCTTAGAAGCATATATGTTTATATCCATAATATATATGCATAAAGTGCATCAAATATTCTTTTATTATTTCAAGAAGCTAATGTAATGTAAAAAGGTCCTGTCAGATGTTAAACTCTGTTATTCTCAGTTTACTAAATCTTGTATCTTATATCAGATGTTAGGTTCTAAAGATTTTTGGTTAGACTTTAACAATGTCATTAACTAAAGTCTAATATTTAATCTCTAATTCTAATAGGTCTGATCTTTTTACTTCTCCCCTATTTTATTCTTATATCTAATGACTATATTCTTCCTGCCAGCTAAACAGATTAACCCATTGTAAACATACAAATCACTCTCGCGTCCAATGCTAAATTTAATTCTCAATTAAACAGTTATACAGTTTGTGGTCCAGACAACATTTCCATCATAGTCTTTAAAAAGTGTTTTCCAGAACTCTCTTCAATTTTTACTAAACTTTTAGAAAGTTGTTCCAATTTTTTGAAACTCTAGAAAACACTTTGACACTTTGTTTTTACTATTATTTTTATTATTATTAAAGATTATAATTTAAACTTTACTGTTATAATTCATTTTATAAATCATCAGATAAAACTAGAAAAATAAAGCACAATATATTTATTAAAAACAACCGCTAATCACAACAGTCTAAAGAAATTTAGCTGTGACCAAATATTTTAAATAAAAGAAATTGTTAAATAAGATATAAAATACTTTTATATCTTATTTAAATCTCATTCAATATTTTCTTTAAAATTAAATGCTCATAACTCATTTGCAGATATATATACAAAATTAAAGACAAAGGTATTTAAAAATATATAAAAACTAATTTCATAATTATTTTAAAACAAAACAAAAAACTCTAATGAATTATTTTAAAATATTATTTTATTACTTCTTTATTATTATTTTAATTATCAATTAATTAATTTCTAATTTCAAATTTTTTAATTTTTTAAATAAATAATCCTTAAATAAATCGATATTAAAGTTTCATACAATGTCCAAATTTTTAGCATAAATTTTTTATTGGTTGATTTTTAAACTACAGCGCAAATTTGACAGACTTTTATTGATATATTTTTTTTTTACTTTTTTTTAATTTATAATCCTTAAATTACCTGGTGTTTAAAAAACATTTAAGTCAAAGATATGTAAATAATAATTAATAAAGATGTAAGTTTTGACTGTTATTTAGTGATTTTGTAAATTTATTTACAAAATCACTAAATATAATTTTTGCAATATGATAAATTTACCATTTCATTAAAACAGTGTTCATGGTTTTTAATTAACTAAGAATAAATTGAATAGAAATATTTTTGGGTATTACACATTTTCATCTCGATCGGTTTGTTAATCATTAAAATTGCTGATTTTGGGGTTCTGTGAACCCACACGTGATTGTCAAAAAACAAATGTATCCACAACATATCACTGTTGGCGTGGATTTTGGGCTGGAGGCATAATTAGATCATATTTTTTTAATAATGAGGCTGGTCAAGCATTGACTGTTACTGGTGCTTGATATCGCGACATGATAACCCAGTTTTTATACCGATATTGGGTGATATTGATGTGGCCAATATTTTGTTTCAACAAGATAGTGCCACATGTCATACAGCCTGTGATACACTTCAATTGCTGCATGAGACATTTCCAAGTCGTGTACTCTCTCGTTTTGATGAATAAAATTGACCCCTTAGATCATGTAATTTAACACCATTAGATTTCTTTTTATGGGGTTATTTAAAATCACAGGTCTATGTCAACAAGCCCACAACCACCCATGCTTTAAAGGAGGAGATTCAACTTTGCATCAACAAAATTCAGCACAATTTATGCAGAATAGTCATGGAAAATTTTGGCAAACAAGTGCGTAAGTGTATGGAAAGCCGTGGAGGCCATTAGCCTGATGTATTATTCCATATCAAATTAAATATATTTTTGAATAAAACTTCTTTCATCAAGGATATTTACAAATAGTAATGAGTACTAATATAAAGTAAATACCTTTTAAATTTAACAATAACAAAAATAGTGATGATAACAACAATAAATATAATATAAATATCAATAATATTAGTAATTATAAAAAGTTATACAATAATAATATAACAACAATAATAATTATAGTAATAAAAATAATTATCATTATAACAACAATACACTAATAATAACAATGATATTAATATTATTATAATAATATTATTACTATAATAATATTAATTTTATTAATAATAGTTAAAAGTAGTTAATAATAGTAATGTAAATATTTATAAAAATGAAAATAAGCAATAGTAATCACAACAAAAATTATTATAGAAATTAAAAATATCAAATGTGTTTTATCAATAACAGTAATAATAAACCATACTAAAGAAAACCAAAAGTGATTATAGAAAGTATAAATATTAACTGTATTTCTTTAATAAAAAGTATAAGAAACTTGTTTTAAAGGTTGAGAATGAATTGAGAACTTTTAGTTCATAAGGAAGGTTGTTCCAAGTTTTATAGCTTTGATATTTTATAGATTTATGTCTGTAATTATGAGAGCAGTGTTTAGATACGGACAGGTTTAAATTACTAATAGAATGAAGGTGATAACAAGTTCTTGCACTTTTTGAAAAGAACATGATGAAAGTTAATGGTAGGTTATTGTGTTGGTGGTTCCAGACAAATTGATAGTTTAAAAGTTGAATATAGTCACATTTTAATACTTTAGGAGTTAGGTAGAGCACATTAGTATTAAAATTAACATTCTGGAAATAGTTTTTAAAGCTTTATTTTGGAGGTGGGATAACCTAATAAGAGCTTGTTGATGGGACTGCCCCCATACTTGGCATGCATATCTTAGATTTGAGCCGATAATAGCATGGTATATGTTTAAGAATGTTTCAAGATTAACATAATATGGAATTTTGGCTAGCATGCCATTAGATCTACTCAGTTTCATTGCTAAGTCTTTACAGTGCAATAAAAAGGAAAGATTTGAATCAGTTTTTATACCAAGGTATTTAATTGAATTAGCAGGTTCAAATTTCTTGCTACTTAATCTAAAGTTCATATGTTTATAGATTTTTGTTTTATTTGATTTAAAGATAACGAGTTCAGTTTTATTAGAGTTTAGAAAAAGTTTGTTGGAGCGAAGCCACTGAACTAGATTAGCAAGATCATGGTTAATGTGTTTGTTAAGTTTTGAAAGGGATTTATTAATTATCACTACATTAGTATCATCAGGAAAGTTAAACAGTAGCGAACTTAATGATGAAGATCAATTATGTAAAAAAGGAAAAGCAGTGGTCCCAATACTGAATCCTGAGGAGCACCATTATAACATTTTACAAGGGTATCAGCCCTCTCCATTTAATCAGCGCTTTTGCGCTCAAGTCTATTTGCACTTGCCCACACGCCTGCAAAAACATTGACAAGCGCATAAAAAAGCGCTTGCTAAAAAATTAAAAGCATTTTGTTTTGAATTACAACAAATTTTTTTTTTTTTTATTTGTTTAGCTTTAATGAAAAATGTTTTTTTTTAATAGTTTTTTTTATTATTTTATCTAGTATTTATTCAAAGCATTCTTTTTGCTATTTTTATTTTAATTTAAACAGCAGGAAAAAAATGAATTTTTTAAATCGCGCAGGCTACCTTAAAAAAGACCATCCTGTCAGCGCATTTTGGTGTGCTGGGATTAAATTTCAGAGAAGACTGGGGTAGATTTTGAGTCATTGATAGAAACAAATTGTGTTCTTTTGTTTAAATATGTAGTAAACCATTTAAGGGGTATTTCTCTGATCCCATGGTATTCTAATTTTTTCAAAAGAGTTGAATCATCTACTGTATTAAACACTTTTAGTAAATCGAAAAATACATCACATGCAAAATATTTTTTTAAATATTGGAATGACTTTAACAACTTTAAAATATCTGGGAACTGGGAACCACTTTTAAATTAGTTATTTATAACAGTACAAAACGGCTTCAAAAAAGTTTAAGGAGAAATATAGGTATGCTATTAGGACCAAGATTTTTTTTTAGTTTTGAGCGTGTTAGTAATGAGACCAGATTTTATTTTCAGTTACAGGATTAATAAAAAATGATTTAGTATTAGGAATGTTAAGAAAGTTGCAAAATACTCATATAGGGGTATGGGTTTGCTAAGTAGTTTGTATAGTAAGTTTAAAAAATGTATTGTTTGTAGAAGGTCAAATATTAATAATTTCTTTTATTTCCTTCCAGGTGTTTTTAATATTGATCAGATTATTAATAAAATATGTAATAAAGTATGTTTTTTTTTTTTCTAAATTTTGTTAATTGAAAATTTTGTTTCTATAAAATTTAAGTTTTGCAAATAGTTCATTTTTATTATAAATATTTTTTGATTTTATAAACTTTTTATAAAGTTTGTTTTTAACTGAAATAGATTTAAGTATTTATTACTTAATCCAAGGTTTTGATTTTAATTTAATTTTCTGGTTAGTTAGTATTAGTAAGGACCATGTCGGTCTAAGATTTCATAAAAAGTTTTTAAAATAAAATTCATGGGTTTATTAACTTCATCATCTTTTTTAATGAAGAGTTCCCAGTTGATATCAAAAATTTCTTCTATAAATATACTTTTATTAAACTTTTAGAAGCATTGTCTGTAAGTTTTTATTTTTTTTTGGGTGGTTGGATATTCCAGGAATGCAAATAAATTGTACCATGTGGTCTGAAATTGAAATTTTAAGGTTACCTGAGAATTGACCAGTTAAATAAAAGTTCGTTAATATGTTATCAATGAGCATTTTAGAAGTAGCCGTTATACATAATGGTAAAATTATGCAGTATTAACTAGTTGAAGTGACTAAAGTGTGAAATGAAGATAAAAAAATGCAAAGTAAAAGACTAAATTTAACAATTTAAAACTTGGGTAAACCGTTGGTGTGAGTAATCAAAAATAAATATTATAACAATATAAAGAAATAAGATCAATAATAGAAAAAAGTGATTAACGCTAAATGTGACTAAAAGTTAACAGTTATTAAACTAAAAATAAAGTTATAAAAAAAACTAGTTATAATATAATAATATACTATAATAATATTAATATATACTAATAAAATATAACTATTATTGACTTCTACCAATACTAATACTATTAACAAAGATACTGAAACAATAATAAATAAAAGTAAGTCAATATTAAATAAGTTGATAAGAATATAATATTAAAAGTATATGTAATAAATAAAATAACTAGGTATCTAACAAGAACTTAAATGAATGCAATTAACAATGAATAAATAATAAAATATGAGAAACAAATAATAATGGCTGAAAAATAATAACTAATGAATTAGTGTAATCATGATTACAAATTATATCGTAAAGAAATTTTTTCATATTTGATTATTTAATTCTTTTTTTCGTTTCTTTTTTTTTTTTTGCTTTTTTTTTCAATTTAATCTTATTAAATGTTATTTTTTTCTTCTTTCAATCAAATTTAAAATTTTTAATTGTTAAGTACTCAAGATGAACTTGAATCTAGTTTTTAACAAAGTTTAACCTCTGTAAATCTTTTTTGGTAACTTTACTATTTGGTAACCTAATGTTACATATATAATTTAAAATTTAAAACATTTTCAGTGAATTTAAAGTAAATTTATATTTTTTTTACAACTTAATATGTTTTTGTTGAATTTTTTATTTTTAGTTATTAAGATTTGTTTTTATTTTTAGTTATTAACAATTGTTTTTTAGATGTAATTCTAGTAAAACATCTGTATCTCGCTTTTGTACACGCAATATGAAAACATTACCACATACTATATATGCAATAGACGGCTGCATAACAATTGAGTTCAGAAGTAGTAGAGGTCTCACTTCCAACTTCTTTTCTGCCAGTTATGAAACATTTACTATTGATACATCTTCACAATACAGTACAGGGTGTTCTAGGTATTGTTTTTTTTTTTTTTGTTTTTTGTTTTGTTTAAAAAAAAAAAAAACTAGTTGTTAATTAATTTATTTTACTCTTTAGTTGTTTAGTAATGTAATATAAATTTTTAAGTTTATATTAGACACATTTAAAAGCCAAATAAAGCATTAGGATTTTAAAAAAAAGCAGTATATAAAGAGAATATATTTTAAGTACATTGTCAATGTATTTTTTTGCATTTATGATGTTTGATGCATGAATGAAGCATGACTAAATATGCAATTAACATATATGGAAGCTGTTTTACCTTGACTAATTTTCATTTAGCCTAAGCTTTTACTACAACTTCTAGATGGCTTAAAAGCTTGTATGACAGTACCTAGTCTATCTTGTAGATAAGTCACAGGCTAGATAGCCAGCAATTAAACTGTAGCTAGATTGCTTGTTTCTAGCATTAATTTTAGATCTAAAATTAAATTCAGATAAAAAGAATTTTTAGTTTATTAGTTTGTGTGATGTTTTTAAAGTTAAATAAAATAAAAAAACAAAGTTAAATAAAATAAAAAAATAAAAGTTTTAAATATAAATTTGCATCATTTTACTTTGATTTTTATTTAAACTTTAATTATACTTTTATTGTATAGCGGCTCTTTTGATGACAATAGCTCTGGTGCTCTTTTTATGATTTTGAGTAGCTTTGTAGTTATTGTGTTTTTTATGAGATTTCTTTTTTAGATTTTCCAAGTTAAAACGATACTCTGGAACAATTTTAAGTCCACTTTGGCCCAAACCATATAGTTTATATAGATTTCCGTACTCAAATGATTGTGAATGGGAAATAGAAGCCGGCAGTAACAAAGTAATAAAGCTAAATTTTATGCATTTTGATATTTACAATACTGATTCTACTGGAGTTTGTTACAATGATAAGGTTATTGTAAAAGGTAGTTATATTTATATATGGATAAATCTTTTATGGTGGTAAATTTTTAAAGTAGAATAGCAGATAAGAATATGTCAGTTTTATTGTTATTTATTGATTAAAGAATTTATTGAGTAATTTTAAACATAATTATAAATGAGTTTTGATCACATAACTGTATATAGATAACAATAGAGATAATTATTAATAGAAATGTATTAGTAACAATTATAAATATTGTATAATAAAAATTATATCAACATATTATCATTAATAATTAATGTTCATTTGAAATCTAGAATAACTTTAAATAGTTATAATACTCTTTATACTATATGTTTTGTAAAATTCAAAATGTTTTTTAAAAAAATTTATTTAAGATTTAATAAAAAAACTATTGTTTTTCAATTATTTCTTTTTCTAGAAGTCTAGATTTTATTGATTCAGAAAAATTCTGCTCAAAGTTTTCGTCAGCTTTCTTAAAACAATGTTCTCCTTTTTAAGTTGTTCAAAATTTTTCGCTTGCCATTTGTCTTTTTGAATTAATTTTTTAATAATTTTTTTTATCAATTACTGGGCTGTTTTTGGGCAATTTCTGATAAAATTTTTGGCATACCTTTACAAGAAAAAGTTACCCATGTTAAAAGTTCTGGTTCAAACTAGGGTTGTCAAAATTGGGTTATTTATGGAGGAGAGCATAGTGCAGTGTACTTGTTTTCAGTTAAAGTTTGTACCACGACCTGTTACATAAATAACTGGATTTTGACATCTCTAGTTCATACTTAGGTTTTTAATAATATTTTGCACTAGCTTGTTAATGTTTTTGTTGTTGGTTGTTGAATGAGAAAGTGTAAAATAAAATTCATCATCATCAACTTTTTCATAATTTCAATGTTTGTCAATTTAGTCTTTGTCATTAGTTTTTGGTTATCAGTTTGATCTGGGATCTTCCTTTTTTTTTGTTAGTCATTATTACGCAGTTGGTATTTTAGCTTTTTTCAGTGACATCATTACATTAAACATGATTAGAATGTTAATGAGCATTTTATTAGTATTTTTCTAATTAGAAAATTGGTTGATACAATATTGAGTACATTAAACATCAGGAAAGTGTAGAAGTTCTGTTTCCCTGTCTTTTTTTCCTGTATTAACTACAACAATGGTAATTGTGAGAAAAAATGGTGGATTAAAATGTTTTTTGAAACATTTTTTTTCCATGTTAGTATGAATTGGATGTAGGAATCAGAAGCTTGCGCTTTGCTATAAATATTTGCCTTGAGTCCTTTTTCTGTAATAAGTGATGCTGATACAACTTTATTGGCTTTTTCAAAATCGATTCTACTAAAAATCATCCTAGAAATTGAAAATATCTACAAAAAACACTCTGTAACATCAGTCTGTACACGTGAAATAAGATGCACAGCACAAGAAAGAGCATGGTTTGTAAAAGAAAAGTTTGTAAAATTATAACAAATTAGGTGAGAACAAAATGCTTAGCTTCCCACTCAGGTAAAAATAGTGTCTTTATGGGAAGACTGTAGAAAGTACATATAAAAAATTTGTACCTGCTTTCAAAGTTAAAATAAGTAGGGTTTAGTTTGAGGTTTCTAAAGTTGTTTTTTTTGTAAATAAAAATTATACAATGTACTGTTTAAAACATAGTTATACATTTGAGTTATAAAATTGTGACAATATTTAAATAGCTTATAGTAAATAATATTATGAAAATAATAATATTTTGTTCTTACTCCAAGAAAATGATTAACATTGAAGATTTTTTAACTTCTTTTAAGATAATGTTTTCTAAAATCAGTTAACTAAAGGAACTCCTAAGATTGAATAAAATAGTTATTGAAAACACTGAGTACATATTTATGTCTTATATATTGTGTTAATTCATTAAAAAAAATGAAAACTCAAAAATATGTGATTAAATAAATAATAAATAAGAAACTTACTTTAAGATCATTTATGTAAAAGTTTCAAGATATTTTGTTGGATGGCTGTTAGATGGAAATAATATGCAGTAGTGGTGTAGTGGTAGAGTGCTTGCTTTTTAAGCAAGAAAATTAAGTTTGATTTTTTAAATAAAAAATTTTAAGTTCAATTGTTATGCCATATTACCAAAATTGGTCATGTCTGGTAACCAAAGTTAGAGTTTATCTGAAATTTCTGTAATGTAGTTACCTTTCTAACTGGACAACTATAAATTCAGTTTGTATATATGCATATAATTTAATGTTCATGTTATTAAAATTATCTCTTTCAATATTAATGTAGGTAAAAAATCTGATAAAACATCTGAAAAAGAAAAATGGGGATTTTGTGGAAGAAAACCACCATTCTCTATAACAACTGCTTATTATGAAGTTGATGTTGAAATGAAACTGTCTTCATTTACTAAGTCTTATACAAGTCGAGGTTTTGTGGTTGGCTTTGTAGCATATAACGATGGTAACCATTTTTATTGTTCTTTTAAATTTTTTCTTAAAACAACATTTTAGTAAAATATTTATATATTACTATGAACTATTATGTTTATTTTAAAAGTTATATTTAAAAACAAAGATGGCTAAAAATTAATTGCCTAGTTATTGTAGAATGCACTAATTGAACTTTGTAACACATCATTATGAAGCTTTAATGGTTTGAAAGATCAAGCCCCAGCCGGAAAGGTAAGAATAGAAAAAGCATACCAGATCACCCATCTCTTTCCCATTTCTACAAATACTACTATGGTTGCTGCTCAAAGGAACTATAATCTCCAAAACTCATTCAGCTGAGATTCGTCTTTTTACTTTACCTGCCCTTTAATGCTCTAAAAACTTTTATTTAGCTTTATAGCTTTGGAACTCTCTCCCATTTTCATATTTTCCTAAATCATATAACCTTCAACTTTTCAAGTCTTTTGAATCATACAACTTTCAACTTTTCAAATTTTATGGGGTCAACACAACAAAATCACACCACACCGGTTAACAACCATTTGTAACATACATTGGGTGAATAAGTAACCAAAAATTATGGTACTCAGCAGCAAACTTTTAATTTAGTTCCATTTTCATTGATACTTTGTGGGTTTTAGAAGCAGTTACAACACCTTTTCGATAGCAATACTAAATTTTATTTTAATTTAGACTTTGTGTCTTGGTTTGTTTCATATTCTTAGCTGGCATGTTTACAACTAAACTTCCCAAATAAAGTTTTGTTTTAGCTTTGGAACTGCAGTAAACAGAATGCTTGATAGATGATTTACTTATGTTGAAGAAATGAAGCAAAAATTGATGTTACTATCAATTTTTCTTCTTTTTACCTCTTTGGAAAAAATATTTCTCACTAAAGATCTTTTATTTTAAAAGGTGCTACCTTATGAGATGTCAACTATTTATTTAAAGTACTTGTGCATGCAGGGTTTATCAAACTATTTCTTACAGCCCTTCTGCTCAATAAATTGCTGCCGCAGCATGATTGCAAGTTTGACACACGCCAGCCATCCATGTACAATCACAGCTTTTATTTTAGCATTTTTTTTTAAAGGCCAACCACTGTTTTTGATATGTATCATTTATAAATCCTAAATTTAATATACATTAGTTACTACCTGTTAAATTATGATGCTAAAGTGGCTAAAGCCAGGCACATTTATACTAGCTGTAGTATAAATAATAACACATAGTAGCTTTTACATAGTATGCTTTTGAGTTTTTATTATCACTCAAGTGTTTACATCAAAGTTCTGATGGGTTAAAAATTAGGCAGTTGAATATATCTGTTTAAATATATTTGTTTGTCCAGCCAGCCTTAAAGAAATTTAAACAGATCAATTACCTTTATGTTGTTGAATTTCAGTTTCAAGTGATATTCTTTTGACATCATTCACATTTTCTCAAATGTTGGATTAGTTGTCAATTTTGAAACCCATATAAGAAAACATGAAGGTTTCTAAAAAACCAAAAATAAAATGTTTATGGTTTCTCAGAAAACAAAGATAAATACTTCAATTAGTTACACTTCGTGACATTTTGATTAGATCCTTGTTTCATTTAAATGTGCAATGTATTTAAGTACTATTAAAATTAGCTGTTCAACTTGTTATAGTTAATTGAAATTATTCATTTTGTTTATAACTACCAAATAATATATATATATATATATATATATATATATATATATATATATATATATATATATATATATATATATATATATATATATATATATTTATATATATATATATATTAAATATATTGTAATAAATTTATATTTATAAAATGGGTAAAGTTAAGTGTAAAAAAACACAGTCAAGCTCTTAATCATTTCATTTACTTATTGCTTTTTGTTTTCTTTTTTATAAAGGAAACCACAAAATCTTTTAATAAAATTTGATTTAGTCAGAGAGTTCATTTGTCTTGGAGTTGCATTGACCTTTTTTAAAAGTAAAAAAGTTTTGTTTAAACACCAAACTCTTCTATAATGTCATATTTAAATAAAAAATTGCATTAAAAAAACCTGTCCACACGAAAGTATGGACGTTAAATATAATATGTATATTTATGTTATTAAAATTATTGCTTTTGTTTCTTGCATTTATTTCATTCATTTATTATAAATTTTTTTAAAGATCAAGTTGACACAGCGATGGCAGTGAAATGGCAATATATTTTTGGAATTATCATTGTTTTGGTTGTTATTTTAATAATAGGCATTTTTTGTTATTGTCTGTATAAAAAAAAACAAGCTGCTTCTTCACAAGCCGCAAATCAAGGTTTTGTTCCAATACCAAATAACTATCCAAAGTCTAATACATATCCTCAACAGTATGTATATCCACAACCACAGGTATACCCAAATCAAACAGCATATTCACAACAGCAGTTGTATTCGCAACAGCAGTATCAAAGTGGTTATCCGTTATTACAAGGAGGTTACACATCACAGTATCCTGGTGCTCAGGAGATTAACCAACCTAACATGTATCCTTATAATCATCCAAACCAAGGTTTATAAATTATTTTTAAAATATTAAGTTTAAATTTTCTAAATCATATCTAATTTTTATTTTATCAAATATTTTATAAACAAATATCAATCTATCAAATTTTGCTGTAAATTTAGGATTCCGTGAACCTCGACCTCCGCCTCCATATCAAAGTGGTTCTCAGCAATTGCCCTATCAACCACCACAGTAATTTTTTTAAATGTATTTTTGGTTAAAAACAATTACTTAACACCAAAAAATGTGACAGTTTGTTTTATTATTTATTCTATATTTATTCTTTGTTTTGTATATTGTTCTTAAAAAGAAAGTCTTTATTTGTAAATATACATTTTAAACTGTATGTATTTTTGATAATTTATTTTTAAAAAATCATGAAAAGTTAATACTTGCGTAGATATGATAATGATAAAAATATATTTTTCTTTTAAAACCTTTTTTTATTCGAACGTCTCCGCTTTATCTAATGTATATGTGTATTATAACTATTATAATGTATATGTGTATTATTATGTATATGTGTATTATAACTATATAACTGTGTATGTGTATTATAGGGGGAAGGGGTAAAAGTTGTAAATAAATAATCGTAAAATGTAATTAAGATCATTATAGTTGTAATTAAGGAAAGAATACAAAGTTCTTCGTATTTTGAATTTTGTAGTCCTAATACACTTTGTAATTTAAGGCTGGAAATAATAATATAATATAATATCAAAAGTCATAAAAAAGGCATTTGAGGTTTAGGCGGTAACTGGAAAAATCCTATTGGGTGTCAATAAAAACTTTTTTTTATTTTTGTTTGTGAAAAATTTAATTAAGCTTTCAGATGAATAATAAAATAAAAAAACAAATAATTTAATTACTGTATTCCTGCATTTCTGATGCATACAAATGCTAAATTTGATATTAGTAACTTATTAAAATGCATATTCGTGAAGATCTTTTATAATGACCTTTAAGCATAGATTATGAATTCGCAATTATAAATAATGTATTCTCATTTACATATTACTTACATATTACATACACTTACATATTACGATTATTTAATTACAACTTGTTTTTCTCATTACATATTGCGATTTCTTATTTACTTGTTGGGTTTCTCAATTACATTTTAAAATTTCCTAAATTACATGATGTATTTCTCAATTTTATCTTACTTTTCTTAATAACAACTTTCAAGTTCTCAATTACATTTTGAAAAGGTGTAGTGCCAAAAACTCGACTATGAAAACTTGTAAAATTTATTTACCTAATTTTTTAGCCTCACATTTATAAGGTCATTTTACTTTATGGAAAATTTTTGGTGTTTTTCTCAATGTGATTTATAGTATATATTTTACTGCATGGAGGTTACTCCTGCATGAAATTTTACTGCATGGAGGTTACTCCTGAGGCATTTTACTGCATGGAGGTTACTCCTGCATGAAATTTTACTGCATGGAGGTTACTCCTGAGGCATTTTACTGCATGGAGGTTACTCCTGCATGAGCAGAGCATGAAAGCAAGTCATGCTATTTGCAGTGTAAGCAGGTCATTAAATTGTACGTTTTATGTAATAGTTAAGTTGTTTTATCTAAAAACCTGTAATGGGTTCAAAAAGGCTTTGCTAAAGTTTGTAGAACAGCATTATTGGGAAGATAGTTCCAAGTATTCGCTACTCTATTAGTTAAAAAAATGTGACGTGTTTCACAATTATCAGTTATTTCTCGGCGTAAGCGTTTACGGTGATCTTACTTAGGTTCTGCTGTCAATAGTTCAACATGCCATCTCTATCATTTTTATTTTTATTTCTAAAATGTTGAATGCAATCAGAACACATTCTTCTGTCTGTTAAGGTGTCTAAATAATGAAGGTGCAAGCGATTATCATTGCAGAATTGTTTCAGACCGTCAGGAACTTTTGTAGCTTTTTTCTGAATACGTTCAATGCGTTTTACTGATGATTTTGAATAATTATTACACTCTGAAGTTGCAAATTTTAAATGCGATCAATTAAACTGTGTACAATCTCTTCTATAGTTTGTTGTCTTTACTGATAAATGGATTTTTCATCCATTTTAATATGTTATTAGCTTTAAATGCAATTTCGTAAGCGTGTGTATCCCACTTCCCATTCGACATAATACATATGCCGAGATCATACTTCTTTTTAAGATTTCAAATTATTTATGGTAGTGAAAGTTGCAAGATCAAGTATGTAATTTTTCTTTTAGATCTTTAGTCTAATGTTTATGCAACAATAAATGCCTTTAAAATGAAAACTAGTTTAAATTAGAAATCTGACTATGTTTCTGGATGAACTAAGAAAGAAAATTATTGGCGATTACGTAAGTGAAAAATGTCACAAAAAAGTATTTGTGATATCGCGTGAAAAAACGTACCGTATCAAGACTATGTTCCAAATATCGTTCTACGGGGAAGTTGGCAGCAGATAACAAAGGTGGAAGATCGCGTTCCACCACTTCTTGAGAGAGTTCAATGATTGTCAGATTTGTCAAGAAGGATCCCTGAATATCATCAGTCGAGATACAAATCAATTAGAGCTGCCTGTATCGGACCAAACATTCAGACGACGTGCTGTTGAAGCCGGATTGTTTTCTCGACGCCATGCAAAGAAACCGCTGATTTCACTAAAGAACCAGAAGAAAAGACTCCTGTTTGCTACATCTCATATTGACTGGAATGTGCAGAAATGGCGAACTGTCCTGTTCAGGGATGAATCGAAGTTCAACATCATTGGGAGCGATGGCATTTGCCGTGTACGTTGATCGACCGGAAAACGCCTCGATTTACGTTACTGCCATAAGAACGTGATGCATGGTGGAGGCAATGTAATGGTCTGAATGGAATATGCCAATAAAATGGGCTTTTCAGCAAGACAACGATCCGAAACACACTGCAAAAGTAGTCAAGCAGTGGTTTCAAGACAACCACCTATCGGTGATGGATTGGCCGCCTCAATCTCCGGATCTCAACCCTATGGAGAACCTGTGGGAGATCGTCAACCGCAGAATTAATCATGAAGGTGTTCGTAATAGGGATCAACTATTTGAACAAATCCAAAAGGCCTGGGCAGCGATTCCACAAAGTTTGATTGATCACTTGATCAAATCTATGCCTCGAAGATGCAAGGCTGTGATCGACAAGAAAGGATTCGCCACGAAATATTGATAGCAAAATACAGCTTGGTCAACATTTTGTGGAGTTGTACTAGTTTTGTCCAGAAGGAAATCAACTTTTTTAAATACTTTTGATTAATTTATTAATTTTCGTGTACAAATAATGAACTTTGTGATGAATAAAACTTGAAGGACGTTGTCTCTAAACAGTTACATAGTTATTTCTCTAAATTGAAAAAATGCAGCACTTTTATATAAAGAAACTAAATTAGCATTATATGGTTGCACTTGTTTTGTCCGATACTGAATATAAACAAGTCGTTTTTGTAATATAATGAATCTCTAATATTTAAAAACTAACATAAAAACTTTTGGTTTATTTTCAATTAAGCTTGCGCTTTCAATTCTTCCTCAAACATAATTTTATCATGCTTTGACTTAAATAAGTACTTTGACCTTTAAATATTATTATCATGTATTCAATTTGAAGAACTATAATATGATTTATTCTATACATTTAGAAAGTTCGTAAAAAAATAACTAAATAAATCTCAAAACAAAGAATGCAGAACAAGAACGTTCTGCGTTCTTTAGAAATTAGCTAATAGAGTTGAAAAAAATATTCATTTTACATTTGTAATTTTTAGGTTTCAAACATCTATTAAAGTACTAATATGTGTTTAAATTTTTGATTAAATAATCTAAGTATAATATATACTCAATGGCTTCAGTCATATTTTACTATATTCTTTTAAATCATTTTAAAAAAACAAAGCTATTGGAGCAGATCATATAAATGGAAACGTCATTATAGATTGTTTTGAACAGCTAAAATTTGTTCTTTTTAATGTTTTTAAAGCTTCTATCCTCAAGGTGTATTTCCCGAACAGTTAAAAGCTTGACAAAATTACTCTTATTTTCAAAGAAGGGGACAAATAAATTATTAGTAACTATTTCTGTTCTTTCCTCATTTTCAAAAATTTTAGAAAAAGTTATATATAACAGAGTATACAGATATTTTCATGATAATAAATTACTTTACATTAATTAATTCGGTTTTAAAAAGGATAGCTCAACTGAACATGTAATTATCCAAAGTGAAATCTCAAATCATTTAAAAAATCTCAATATACGTTTAGGACCTTTTATTTACCTATCAAAAGCTTTTGATACGGTTGATCACCAAATTTTAATCTATAAACTTAAACACTATGGAATGAAAAATAAAGTTTTAAAATGTTTTGAAAGTTATTTGCCAAATCGTAAATAAGTTGTTCCAAGTAATGACGTTTATCGCACAACTTGTTTTTCTATAACATGTGGTGTCCCACAAGGCTCAATTTTTGGGCCACTCCTTTTTTCTAATTTATATTAATGATTTAAATAAAGCCTCTAAACTAACAAGTATTATGTTTGCAGATGATACTAACTTGTTCCTATCTAACAGTGATGTCTTTGAACTCTTTAAAACAATGAACAAAGAATTTAAACATTGTAAAGTTTCATCTTCTTATTTATTATAAGAAAGAAAATTCCTTTAACATTAGTTGATATTTATTTCTATATCTATACATTAAATAGTTACAACTTATTATTATATTAACTGTGTGTAGTCTTCTCGTGTCGTTATTTCAACCAACATTGAGTTTACCCAAGTCAAAAAGTATATAGGATCCTATAGCAATCCTATAGATCCTATAGGATTACCATAGGATCTATAGGATTCCTAAAGGATTCCTATAGATATCCTATAGGTTTTATACAAAACCTATTGGACCTATGGATTGCAATAGGAATTCCATTGTAATCTTATTGGTCCTATAGGATTGCTATAAGACTAATAAAATTCATATAGGTATCCTATAGGTTTTATAGGAATTCTATAGCAATCCCATAGGTCCTATAGGATTCATATATGTGTCTTGTGGGTTTTATAAGATTTATGTAGGACTTACGGCATACCTTTTTGATTCTAAACTGTTAAAAACATTTTTAACGTTTATCTTTATTTTTTTCAACTCTTTTCAAAGTCCTTTCTAAAATAAAGACACCACATAAAAATTTCTTATAGTTTTATATCTACAGAAATCCAACTCAATTGATTAGGATTTCTGTAAATATAAAACTATAGGATATTGTTCACTCGGTGTCTTATAGGATAAAACTCCTAAAGGTTTTGGAGCAGAATTGAATAAACCTTTTGAACGCCCATACCTATATACGGTGTCTTATAGGATTGTACTCCTATAAGATTTTAGAACAGGATTTCGGGGTTCGCGTACATCCATACCTATTGGA